TTATTGCTTCATCCAACCTTATTCCACTGACTGGAACCATAGGCTTATAAACGGTCTAGCCCACACACTGGACTGACCAAAGCTACTCCAGTACTTAGGATGTATCTGGCCAAAGATACAGAGCCCAAGCCTAGACTATGGCTCCCCTCCTTAAAAGAACCAGGAGGTGTCACTGTCCCACGTTCCCCCTCTACAAACCTGGCCAGGTAAGTATTAAGGAACGGGGCCCTAAAAAGGCCAACCACTTTTGCGCTAAGTGGAGGCAAACCACGTGGTCACAGTTTGTCACATATATCAATATTATGAACTCCCAAGTCCAACCGCCTATGCATGTCATGAATGTATAACAAATCCATTATATGCAAGCATGCTTGAAAGAAAACGAATTACCATAAATTTTTCACAAAAATATCCAAGACACATTCAGGCTTAAAGGAGAATTCAAATAACATAGAAGATAATACAATTTTATTCTTTCACCTTTTTAGTCTTATCTATTTATTTGCAACAATTAAGTCGATAGAGTCAATACAATTTTAATCATGATGGATAAAGATTGCACACACATAGAAAAACCCCAAGTTACCTGACTCCCTTTGCTCCTCAGTAGTGAAACGAAAAAAAAATTCCAAGCAATATGGCTCTCAGTGAGAGTCTACAAAAATTACACAAATACCAAGTTAAATTATAATTTGAGCTATTAAAGATTACCTAAAAGCTATCTAAGTTTCAAATCTACTCCACACCCATAATTTAGTCTTAAATTTTCAGCACTTACATATTATAAAATTCAAATATTACTTTAAAGCTATCAAGAGGCCTTTTAAGTTCATACCTATTTATAACTTAACTAGTTCATTTTACCCATAAATTACATACAAATATCTAGTTTATACATTTTCCTATTATCTATTTATTTTAACTTATCATGAGAATAGATATAAATAATTTAAGGAAAACTTACAAATAAAAAATCGAAGGATTTTTTGCTAATTCCTAGCACTTATATATATATGTGTGTGTATTCAAAAGCATCTCCTATTGCTATTTGGTAGTTTATTTAATTTGTTCATGTTTGGGCATATATATATATATATATATCGGTAACATTATAATCGCACGCCTAGACTTTTGATCATACTAAACATTAAAGTGTATAGTTGTATGATAGGGTGTGCATTGTGGGTGTTGCCGAATCTCCCTACTCATGAGAAAAAAAAACTTTTATAAAACAAACAAGTGGCTACAGGGATATATATATATATATATATATACATGGAAGAGGGAAACTTATATCTAAATATAAGATATGCTCTGTACCTGGAAGAAACCGGTGACTGTTGATTGAAGAAAAGGACAAAGAAAGGCAAGGCTACAGTGGACAAAGAAGAGAAAATAGGAATGATGTGAATGAAATTATATCTCAGGAGTTGGGTTTGTGTTACGGCAGAATAAATGAGGTATAAAAGAGATGAGGGTATTTAAAAGAGATTGACGTAGGGCTTCCGTCTCTTCTCTATTCTCTCTGTTTTTTTTAATTATTATTCTTATTGTTAATTAATTTTTTTTTCCGTTGGGATATATATACAGATTTTCCCTTCTTTTTTTTCTAATTGAAAAAAACTCACCTTGTCTTGCTATATCATTACTTGATCCTCGGGATTTTATATTTGTTACTCAAATGTTATAGAAACTAACTTCAGGATACAAAGGATTTGAAAACACATAACATTTTAAATCTATTTCATTTTCATTATTATCATTATCATTATCAAATCTCTTTTATATCCATATAATTATAAACATATATTTTATCAAAATTCATATAACAGATTCAAAATTTGAATTTCAGTCTATTTGATATTATTATTATTATTTATTTTTCCTAGTTAAATTGCTTTTCAAACTAACATCAAAGATATCAAGATGATTTATATATATTAACTAACTAACTCTAAGACCTAAATAATTTCAGGATGTTACAATACCTCTCCTTTAAATTGTTCCAAAGAACAAGTGGATCTTTTATGGTCAAATATTCAATCTTGAGCCCCTCATGCAAGTGGTAACGTAAAAAGATCATGGCTTTGGATTTATCTTGGTTGGATGCTTGGTTGCCTTCCTTGATTGTATCTCCTAAACCATTGGCATTTAGATGGATTTCCGCATCTAATATTCATGATAAATAATTCTTTCTAGTAATGTTGAGCCACAAACTCAAGTTTCTTGAGATTTGACATGATGATACTATCATATAAAAAGTTAAATGAAAATTAATATTAAGATAATAGAATAGTTATGAAACAAATCAATATGAATAAGAAGATGAAATAATTATAAAACAAACCATTACAGAAGTGATATAGAAATTTACCTTCTAGTTGATTAGCCTTACTACAACACCTTCCGGTTACAAGAGTGCTTCGTGTTGATAACGTCTTATGAAATAGAACCAAAATGAAACTACAAAAGAAGAAAGATGAAGACAAGAGAATGAGAGAACTTTTTGTATTTCTTCACTTGCATTACAACACAAATGACATGCCTTATTTATAGGCATAGTTTTACAAATAGGTTACAATTGTCCTTAAATGACAAATAATGGATAATCAATCCCATGAATATGAATGGAGGTGAGTTACAAGAGTGAATGGGTAGTGGAGGAGTAATGGATGGTGGACGTAGTGGAAGTTACTTGAAGAAGATGAAGAGGAAGGGGTAAATGGACATCCATACAATATTCATAACAGTTTGTTAATAATGTGTATTAGTTAGAGCCATCATTTAATGAAAGTAACTACTACAAGAACCATCTTAAAAAATGATTAAATATGAGAAATAAAAGTAGATTAGTGTATTATATTTAAAACCAAATGAGGTAACACTAACAGCCCGTTAGGTTCAAAGAATTGATTGGAATGGAAATGAATTGAAAAGAAGAGAATGGAAAGTGTTTGGTTTACATTGAAATTAAAAGTGGGTTCAATGAAAAATTTATGTTTAGTTCGATGAAAAGAGGTGAAAAAATTGAGCTATTTTACTATATTACCCTCAATAAAAGAATATAATATTATTAAATAAAAAATACGTTTTAAACTTGCAAAATAATTATATTATTAAAAAAATTCAATAATTATAATTTAAATAAATATAAATATTTAATTTAAATATAAAAATCACTGTACATATTAAATGATTAAAAACTTAGAGAAAAATAAATGACAAAGTGTAAATAAAATATATTAGAGAAAAAAACTCAATTCAAATATGAAAAAGATATAAATATTATATAAAATTATAGATGATTTTGTTTTGTAAAAATTGTAATTTTTTTCAATTTCTTATTTATATTTTTGTGAATTGAGTATTTTTGTTGTTGATTATATAATATATTTAAGATGGTCTCACTTTGTTTTCAAATCAAAAACAACATATGAAGATTTATCAAACCAAACTTTCAAGAATAGCTAGCCAACATTCTAATTCCTATATTAACAGCAAATATGTTTTTAATATTAAAAAAATACGGAAAATCGAAGAATTACAATCCTATCCCCAATATACTATGGTTGGCCCTGTTTTTTTAAGATTTTTTTAAAAAACTCCTGATTTTCTATTTTTATTCTAAGATTTTTTTTAAAGACGTTTGGATTAGTTTAAAAGTATTTTTTAAAAGTATTTTTACGCAAGTTAAGATAAGTTTTTTACATATTTAATTCATATATTATAAAATTATTTTTAAAATCATGATTTAATTTTTATCTGAATACTTTTTTTTAAATCAAGCCCAGTCTTAAAAAGACGTCACGATGCATGCCTTATGCTCTGCTTGGATTGAGTGAGTATGGGAGATGAAGGAAAAGTGGAATAAAAAATGAGAGAAAAATGAAGTTTTTTCCTGTTTGGATGGGAAAAAAAATAGGAGAGAAAAGAAAAGTGGGGGAAAAATACGGTGGGCCCCATACCCTATTTTCCTCTCAAAATTTCTCTTCACAGGTGGAGAGATTTTCACCGTTTCGGCTCATTCCCCTTACTGCCCTCTCCCGCCAAGCTTGCATTGGTCTCATCGTTGTAGTGTTCTGGTGCGCGGGAGGAGCGTGCAGCGATGGAGGACAATGGAAATGGGTTTTGGTTTTGCAGAAGCAAAGTAAAGGGTGTGGGAGAGGGGGAAGCACGAAAGGAGAGAAGAAGCTGTGAACGAATCAACAAAGTGTTCTTCTGACCTGATGGCCGTTGTCTGTTGGAAAAGGCCTTTTTTCGGTCGGAAGGCATTTTACGGTTTTGGAAGAGGAAAACCAAAAATGGCACAAGAAAAAAGGATGCAAGAAAAATAAAGAGGAAAGAAAACTCCCAAAAAGCGGCCATGCAATGGTTATTTTTACATAGAAAAATAATTTTTTTTGTTAAATTATTTAGTTTTCTTGCCAATTAATTATATCACGGACATTTTAATCATTCTCATATTTATATATATATTTTCTTTTTTTGTTTTCTCTCACTCATCCAAAGAGGATAAGTGATAATATTTTTTTTTTGGTTTTCTCTTCTTTCTATTTTTTTTCTCTCACTTTCTCTTCCCCCAATTTTTCTTCTCATCCAAGCTGGAGGTTAGAGCAGCCTGCTGTCACGACAAACAGATGTGCAGCATGGCTGGTGGCGCGGCACGCTAACGCGCCCATGTTTGTTTATTTATTTTTAAATATGTATAATATTTCAAGAAATTTCGGCTCATGACTCGACGTCGGTGGAATGTAACCCAAATATACTTTCCGTCGATAAGGATATTCCCTCAATAAACCATCCGAATATTCTTTCCCTTGACCGTTATATCGCCTTCCCTCCTCCTCCTCTGTCCTTACTTTGATCACCCCTTTGGCCCTTTCCCTCACTTCCTCTTGAAGAAAGAACCCTTTTTTGGTTTGACAATTTTGCCCCCGCCTCTTTACCATATTTACATCCTTCCGGAGGTGATCAGTTTTTCCGAAATCCGACGACGAGATATGAAATTCGGCAAGAGTCTCAGCAACCAGATCGAGAAAACCCTACCGGAATGGCGTGACAAGTTCCTCTCTTACAAGGAACTCAAGAAGAAGTTGAAGCTCTTGGAGCCTCCCAAATCCTCCGTCGACGACAGGCCGTCCAAACGGCCCAGGCTCCATGATGGTGCCGCTGCCGGTGAGTCTTCACCGCAGGAGATTGACTTCAGGAACTTGTTGGAGGAAGAACTCGAGAAATTTAATGCCTTCTTTGTTGAGAAAGAAGAAGAGTGCATTATTAGATTGAAGGTACGAGTCTTCTCATTGTCTTTTTTTTTTTTTCCCGGTCTATACGGTTGCCTAGAAATTTTTTGCACAAATCTGATTAAGTTAAATTTTACGTCAAATCGCTATTTTAGGCGTACTTTGGACTTTCCACCTATGATTATAGAAACGTAGGGGATTTGTGGAACTGATAATGTTTGTAATGCTTTAAATGCAGGAGTTACAAGATAGGGTTGCCAAGGGAAAGGATTCAAAAGAAGAGATGATGAAAATACGAAAGGAGATTGTGGATTTCCATGGCGAAATGGTTTTATTGGAAAACTACAGTGCCCTTAACTATACAGGTGCCTTCAGTATATCTATCTTAAACTAGTTAAGGACAAGTCTTTTTGAACTGTGAACTAGTGTCAGACTTGATACCTCTAAACTCAACCTGTCACTGATTATATGTTTTTCGTTTTTAATTCAAGAATCATTAAGAGAGTCTGGCTACTTGGTATGTTGAGAGACCTGCCTTTCTTCATTCCCTAACTGAAAATGTTTATCCATTTGGATTGAAAAATTCTACTTTAGTTGGCGCGTAAAAATTGTATATCCTTAAAATTTCTATTAAAGAGAGATCAATATTCCTGTTTCAAGGCGTACAAGGGTCACATCAACTAAAAGTTCATAGGAATGCTAGCACAGATGGGTTTTTCTCTTTCAAGTCCAAAATGGTGTTTCTGTTTTAAAAATGCTCTAGTACTTGGACGACAGACCGAATTTATCATTCGGTTTGATTTACGCCTGTAGTAACAAGTGATGAAAAGGCGATACTTTAACGAGTATTTTATCATTTGATTTGATCTAACAGATATAATTCTATTGGCTCGTGTTTGTGTCAGCAATAACTCTCAGATACTCAATTGCTTTGACCGTGCATAGTTACTCTGTTACTGCTGTAAGCAATACTATTTAAAGACGGAATGATTTTATCGGGGATGTGTCTGTGTGATCAGCCTGAAGTTGGACTTTCAAGCATGATTGTAGATTTTGTTTCATAAGATTTACATGTTATTAACAGATCAAAATGTCCAATGCTTCCCACAATCTTCTATGTAGTGGACTTGTGAAAAATACTTGAGAATTATTTTAACAAGAATATTGTTATTTGATTTAACTGATGTAATTCTGTTGGTTCATGTCTGTATCAACAGCGATTCTAATTTTTAGATATTTAATTGCTTTTTCACCATGCAAAATTACTCTGTTCCTGCTATAAACAATAGCGGTTTTTGATCAAATCTGTGATAAGCGTGAATTGGTCTTCCAAGCATGAGCAGAGTTGGTGTTCCATAAGTCATAATTTACTAGTTATTAACTGCTCAAAATGTCTAATTGTTTTCTCAATTGCCGCTGTACAGGACTTGTGAAAATACTGAAGAAGTATGACAAGAGAACTGGTGCCCTAATTCGCTTGCCTTTCATTCGAAAAGTCTTGCAACAGCCTTTCTTTACTACAGAGATGCTCCACAAGCTTATAAAAGAATGTGAAACAATGCTGGATGGTTTATTTCCAGTGAATTATACTCCTGCCTCAGGTGAGGCTGCTTCTCAAGCTGATGGATGCGATCCTTCAACAACAACTTGTTGTTCTTTCAAGAGTGGTGATTGTCTGTTGATACCCAAGGAACTAGCAGAGATTGTGAATAAGGAGAGCCTTTATATGAAGAGTACCATCTCAGCATTACATGTTTTGCAGGAAATTAGATCTAGAAGCTCCACGATTAACATGTTTTCATTACCGCCATTGCAAATCAGTGGGTTGGGAGAAACAAGGAAGAAAGTTACTATTCTGGAACAAGCAGCCAAGTAATCTTCTGGCTTGCATTGATGGTGGCCTAGTGGGTTCTTTAAATTTCCCTTCCTTTTTTCTCTCTAGAAAACGATGCCACTGATGGCATGCATGCCTCAGATTCAGAATACTAACACGGATAAGAGAAGTGTAAAGATGGAATTGATCCGATACAAATATAGGCTCCATAGGTTTCATATGATGCACACTTTTGTGGTATTTTAATAGTCATATTTTTAATAGGGGTTCCATTCTTTTTCTGTCAAGATGGGGAATCTCTTCTTGGAATGTTGCCGATGGCGAATGGTTATTGAGCCCTTATCAATTTAGTTCTCAGGAAAATAGTTTAGTTTCCAGGAATTACGGGTTAATGTGTATGATGAGATTATTTCAGGGAAACAAAAGAGCAGATTATGTCACGTTTTAGCCATTCACAAATCATGAATGGTTAATTTATGGTTGCCTGCATTCTGTAACAATCGCACTGATATATTACTCTGATATATCAATTATAGTTACAAATTAGAAGAAAGATAAACAATAGCCAAAGAAAGTAAAAATAGAAAGTATTCTGATTTTCTTTTATACATATTAAAGTTTTAAAGTTTTGGTGAGTTGGGTTATGAGGGCTTATCAAGGTTAGAACAGGCCTACAGACTCAAACAGCATTCATATCACCCGCTAACAGTCTTCATATCGTTAACGGGATTGAAATTCAATTTTGTGGGTTATAAGCTAATTCTTTATCAACTGGATCAATTTTTGTTGGAATCTCATATTTTATTACTCATGATTAACTGATTATAAACTATTACACCTCTCTCCCTATTGTTTTTTTTTTTTACTAAAATATAAGTATATTTCTATTGGAGACAGTTCTCTCTCCATATGTGTACACTTAACATTTGTTAGGCCAATTCAAATAGGCATTTGGGCCATTAGTCCTATTCTCATGGTCCAAGTTCTACTTAATGCTAAGCCCATTCATTACACTCTCCTATTACCTATTTGAACATGCCTTAAAATTCAATTATACCATTATAAGGTATAAGCTCTCAACATATCTTTAAAAATCTGGATAGTTTTTTTAATCTCTATTATTTTGCGGATGATAAACTGTGCTATATTTTAATCTAGAACACATAGCTCAATGCAAAGCCTTCTAAAAGCCTCAAGTGAACCACGGATTTTTTATTGAAAATAATTCTTTTCGATAATCCATTCATGTCTTTCTTTATATTGAGCCATTAATAATTCTTTTTCAAATTTAACAAACTCATGATCATAAATCATAATTTTTCAAAAAAATCCTAACTTCAATTTTCTCAAACCAATCATTTAATAAAAAATTTAAATCGTAGAAATTCTTTTTCTGACCTTGTTAGTTCAATAAATAGCAGAATAATTAGCTAGAAGCTCCAAAATTTTAAAATCTACAAACTCTCAAAAATCGAAGGGGAGAAACTGAAAAAATAACAATGATGGATAGCTTACCAAATGTCATAAAAGAAACCCCAATAAATCATCCTTCTTTTCCTCACCCTCGCTCACTATCTCTCTCTCTCTCTCTCAGTCGCGGAGTGGAGAACTTGAAGACAGAGAATTCTAGAGAAGAAAATTAAAAAGAAACACCAATAAGCTATAGAAAATTTTTGTTATTAATCTGTTGCTAAATTTTTCTGCCACATATCACAAGAAACTTTTAACATAAAATTAAATAAATATACATAATATTTTAAATAAAAAATATAATTTAATATATTATTATGTATTTCAATTTAATTTCTTATTTTAGTGAATGTTTATTAATAATTAATATTTTTATCTACAAAATTTAATAAAGTACTATGTATCTTATATATATTATTTTCTATTTGTGTTATATCAATGTTATGAATATAATAATATTTTTGTGGATGTCCATATTTCTTCTTTTATCTATAATATCTCTCATTATCTATGTATCTCATAATTATATCATATTATTATGTAATTTGTAAATTTTATTAAAGATGTAAAGCTATGTCCATATATAAAGGGTGTATTTAGTACCTTGAATTGAATGAGAAATACTCCTATATTCTAAGTTATGTACCGAATTGGACCCTAATTCCATATCTCAAGCATCATAAACATGATTTTGCAATGGAGATTCACATTCGTCACATAAGGTACAATAATTGACTTTTTCACATTATTTTATAGTCATGTTTTACATTTTATTAATTAAAATTTTAAATTTTTATTTTTATCTTATTCTTGTATGTTTATGATATTCAATTATATATATATATGTTAAATTCATGTTATTAAATAGGGTCATTGTTTGTTTATTTATTTTATTCTAGCAAAAATAGCAATCAAAGATTGTTTTTTTTTTGGGGATAAAATTGGGCTTAAATACTCCACTCTTATCTCTAAGTCCTTCTCTTATACTCTGGAAAAATTTATAGTTAAAGACCCTATCACTCAAAATATTTTATTTTATTTAATGTTATCTACGAAATAGAAAAGACATGAAAAGATTTTGTTGAGATATCTTTTTCTTGGGAGAAAATATTAAAAAAAATTTGATTATCTTTTACTTATTATAACGGACTTCTCTTCACAATCTCCTCAAAAAATTTTTAGTTAATAAAGAATATGATATTTTCTTTTATTTATGTAGGTAAGAATATAATAATGAAAATAACATATTGACTAAAACTCTAGAAGAGTTGGAATTTTAGATTCAACTAATACTAAACATTTGCTTAATCTTGACTTAAGCAAGAGGTTGTAAATTTGACCCTCCAACAGTATGTGAATTTCTCTCATTGGGAGAAAAATGAAAATATAAGGCTCAATAAGAGTTATATCATGATTTATTATCTCCATTAATAGTTGAGAATAATATTGTAATGTACGAGCTTCTCTCATTGGGTGAAAGATAAAACTATAAGACTTCAAAAGAGCTATGTCATGATTTATTATCTCCATTGATAAGCAGAAATCTATCAATGTTTGAGAATAATAGTATAATGAACTTGACATTCATATGTTTATTGTTTGGCATGATTGGTTAAATCATTCCGGATCATAATGATACAAAACATTATCACTTACCGTACTTGAAATCAAATCCGTACATATATATAATGTATCAAGTTTATATATGGGCCCATTGAGATATCATGTGGACCAAATTAATACCTTATGAATGAAAGATGTATCTATAAAATGTTCATATGTGTGCTTATGATCAACTTGCAACTTGAAATTTGCAAATATGTTCAGATAAATATATTGGGTATATAAATGCATAAATCCCATATTATGCAACTGATATGATTCCCATTAAAATAACTAGTGATTATTCCTCAACTCATCAATGATTATGTGCTTAGTAAAAGCCTCTATAAGTAGCTAGATCAAAGCTTATGACAACAAAATTTTTATTTTAGTGTTGGGATAATTGATTTCATATATTTCTACTCATAAATACATAAAGCTAATAACGTATCATGAATCCTCCTATTATAATTAAATTTTGGTTAGGAGCTAGACATATTTCATATTAGAATGTGCAATATCTATTATTTCATCAAAATAATACACATAGAAAGTGTGAGAGAATAATCAGTTCTAAAAAGAAAAAAGGCAAATGATCAAGATGATTATACTAAGGAGGCATAAATAGCAAAAGAGGCTAAGATATAACTATTTGACCCTTGAAAATGTTTAAGTGCTTGAAAGCCACAGAGATTTCAATATATTAGGTCATAAAAGAAAAGGGACCAAAAGGGATTAAAATTATCGATAATAATTTTAGTCACGATATCACATGATCAAATGAGGATTTTATATACAAATATGTCATAAGACACTGACGGAAAGAGGGTTGGCCAACAGAAAAGAAAGGACACAACATGCAACATTATAATAGGGATTTTTATATTTCCAACCTAAACACTTGAAGTGTAATGTTAATATTTTAAAAATGGGCGTTTGTAAAAGAAAAGAGAAGTGCATTCTTGTGGTGGATTAAATTTTTATGTGTCTAATCAATTTGATAGTTTCATTATGTATCAAAATATTTCATATTCAGTTAGGAAATATAATGACTCACTATATAGTAGAATTATATGTGAATTCCAGAAAAATTCAAATTCTCGTGTGAATTCAAAATGATCCAATATATGAATATATTTGGATCAAAATATATGAAAATCTTTGAAGGATTCAAGCTTCTAGAAGCATGTAATTATGTTATCAAAAATACCACTCAATTAAGTTAAATAAATTTCTATATGGAGGCATATATAGTATAACCGACTTAGTAAATATTAATTGAAGGAATAATGTAGAAATATTCCAAATTGCCCATGTATATGAAAAGATCTGAAAATGGATTTGTTATCATTAATATTTATCTTGATGATATAAATAACATCAAAACTTTTAAAGAGTTTACAAAAAGCCATGAATTGCTTAAAGAAAGAATTTGAAATAAAAGATTTGGGAAGAATAAATATAGATAAGTCATACCCATTATGTGAAAAAGTCACATCTATTATGTGCTCTAATAGTTACAAGATCTTTAGATATAAATTAAAAATCAATTTAAACCTTAAAAAGGTAATGAATAAATACTTGATCTAGAAGTACTATATTTAGTGCCACTAGAGGACTTTTGTATATAGCTAGCCAGACAAAACCTAATATATCATTTATTAATGAGCGTGATATAGTTCTTTACCATCACAAACATGTTTGTGATATTAGACTTTGCAAACTTAAAGATGTCAATTGATGTTACTAAGAGGGGAAGCTGGTACATGATGTACTCTTTTTCTGTTGTCAATAGTTTTGTTCTATTGAGTTTTCTTAATAAGATTTTTCAAAGGCAGCACTGGATAGTATATCAATAAATAATATACTCTTTTTGTTTTACTAGATTTTTATTCCATAAGATTTTTCCTAGTTGAAGTTTTTAAATGATGCACATTCATGTTTAAGACCAAATTAAATATCACAATAAAAAAAATTATATGAACATTAATATTACCAAATAATTTAAAATAAAATTAATTAATGAAAATATATTACCATATTATTATATTTAAAAATCAAATAGTTTAGCAAAAAATGTTATTTTTAATATAAAAATAAAATGTGAATAATTTTTTTAAATTAAATATAATAAAAATATATATTATTTAAAATTATTATTAATTAATAAAAATTTATTATAAACGATGAAAGGGACGGAGAAATCTATGTGTATGTGAGAGTATAGTTAGTACGAATTCTGAGTATTATATTGAATGTGAAAAAATAGAGTTTACATTTTGATTTGAAATTTGGCTACAGTGAGATAATTGTGCTAAATTATGGAGTAGCCATAAATAAAATTAAAAAAAAATTGCATTAAAGGCAAAATAATAGAGCAAAAATTTTGCATAAATTATTTACCTCATATTTTGACTAACTATCA